TCTAAATCCATTCAGTTGCAGAATTGTGTGATTGCTAATTTTCCCTGTACACTGTAAGCCCATTGAATTTATTTCTTTTAATTGTTGAAATGAACTTGCCCTAATTGTTCTCTTCATATCCAAAATGAAGTTTTTGGATTGGTATTTGAAGATAGGACTTGTGTCGGCAATGATTGGGGGTTCGATGTAGTTTTTCATGATCAAAACCGGCTTCTGTGTGATAACCCTTCTTCTTATACTCTTTTTCTCTACATAACAACCAACTATTCTCCATTTTGTTTTATATGTGTGTACAAATAAATATGTTCTAATTATGAGTTTTTCATCCTTTGTTTTATATCTTTTATATGCAGAAGTAGAAGCTATGAGTACGGCTCCTTCTTAACCATTTTTCTGGGTATTGTCCTCCTTGATTCTCTGCTCTTTTCTTCTTCTTTGTTGGCCTAATAGCTGGTCGGGTGCACTTCTTGAGCAGTTGTCAAGCCAAGGAAAGCAAGTGCAAGTTCCAATTTCTCCTTAAAGTTCATTATGAATTGCATGCCAATTTTTATCCTATAAAATGCTTGCAAAAAAATTACTATAGTATTATATCTTCATGTCAATTCATAAGTGAAATAGAGCTAAATTTGTCAATTATTGTTAACATGTGTTACTCACATTCAATACTTGGAATGTTATTCATTCCGATTTTCTTTTGAAAAGTTTCCCTTCCTTTGATGGGTGGCAGTCATTGAGTTTGTGTTAGGAATGAGCTGAGATGATAGTAACATGAAAAACTCAAACTTGCCTCGATTTCGGATTTTATTAAATTTTAGAGGAATACTGTAAAAGGTGAATTTATTTATTTATTTATTTATTTTCAATGGCAAGAAACACACACACCCATTTTTTTCTTTTGGAGACTCGAACCCTCACCATCCACTTGGAGATATGATCTGCATCTCTATGTGCTTTTGAGTCTCACTCAGACCAGGTGGTTGATATTGAGTCTCAAAGTGTAGACTCATCCCTTTTTGCTATTTGGAGTTCATGTTGTAGTATATTTCAATCATCCAAATGCACAATTGCATTCATATTGAGTCAATACTGAATTAAAGTTAATATATATATATATAACCAATATGACTTCATATGTGCTTATAATTTTAGAAGAGGAACTGCTCTTAGAGAAGCGAGAAGTGAACCAAAAAGCTTAACCCTTTTTGTTGAACTTAACAAACCTTCACACACACCCTAATTACTTGATGTTTGCTTTATATAGCACTTCTTGCAATTTAGCTCTATGTAGGCCAATGTCATCCATTAAATTATTCGCCATCATAAATTCATAACCAATATTCTCATCCTTAGCTCATATTAATATAGTCATTTTTTCTGTTGCAAATGAAAAAATCAAATTATATCAGTGACATTTTTCATCTTATCCTCGGTGTTGCAAGTATCTTCACATGAATGCATTTGTTTCTTGTGCAGTTGTGCCATCTTTTCTTCTATTGCTACTTATCCATCACAACTCCCCTATTCATGCGTATTATTTTCTTTGAACATGCCACAACTTTAGAGCACAAATTCTTTAATATGTCTTATATTTTGATACGGCAAATGACAAATAACTGTTTTGGAGTCGGAGAAGAGAACTTGGGAGAGTTCCCCCGAACCTCAGCCTATTAGAGAGGTTCTCGATCCTTGGAGAAATCAGGATGCGAATGCAAGAGAAAATCCTTAGATTTTCCGATTTGGATGTTAGGTCAGCATGAGATTCTTTTCTTGGGAATGTTTAAGATTAATTGCATCACAACATGGCACATTTGCTTGTTAAAACTGACGACACTAGGAAGAAACAAATCCTTAGCTGCAGCTTGGGCATTCATTGGGAACAGCTTTCGGATTTCACAATGGCGGCCATAGTTGCCGGAATATTCAAGCATTAGTACGATGTCTACACAGCGCATAGGCTCTGTGTTCATGGGTATGAGCTGGTGCAGGAAATGCACACAGTGGGAGAGCTCGAGCAAACCATGGAAGAGGCCCCTCTGCGATTGGTGTCCGGATATGAGACTGAAGATGCTGGAAATGAGTCTCAAGAAGCTTGGTCGTACTAGTGGGGTAACACTGATTGTTTCACTTTATATATATATATATATATATATATATATATGTATGATTTTAGTTTTTGCAAAACTAGTTCATAATTGCTTTACATGTCTTGGAATCACTTTGGCAAGGAAGCTACCTATCATCTGATGCAGTTTGATAAAATCTGGTTTCACAGGATATATAGAAATTAATTTTGAAGTAATTACAAGAAAGTTTTAACAAATTATTATTGTTACTTGTATATATAGTGAACAGATGACTGCTAATTGTACTGTTGTCTTGCCTAATGTCACGATCCGATTCCTAACGACGCCATGAGCATAGAAGATACGCATGCTAGTTGGCTAAGAACATTCATTGACTGGGAATGGTTCCAGGGAAGGGGCGTGCAGGACCACAGGATGGTACCTCTTCAGAGTTCAGGCAGGTCGACTCGGTTCAGTTCGAGGTGCTTGTCGCTAGTCTTGGACTTGACTATGAAGAAGGGAGTTGGCCATCCCTGCACAAACTGGTCGGGAGCTGGAGCCGTTCCCCTGACGAGGCCATGGCAGGCCGAAACCAGTCGGCATGTATCCTTGGGAGGGCAGGTCGTGGTGGCTGACCAGGGCGCTTGCGCGAGCTGAAGCAACGCCTTGGTGCTGCACGGGCCGTGCCGCTGCGCCAAATCTCTAGGCCCGTGACAAATGGTATCAGAGCAGGACTTGGGGAAAAGCACAGAGGTGTGCCCTCTTGTCGATCCGGGGGTCTTGAGAATGAAGACGGTGCACTGAAAAAGCGTCGGTGGGCAATCAATGCTGTTGGAGGAGAGCCTCCATCTCCCCATGAAGACGCGTCCTTTAAGCCGGAGGGCCGCGCGCATCGGATGGCCGGAGGGCCGCGCGCACCAAAGTTCTTGCAAGTTCAAGAGGCGTGCAAACCGTTGCGAAGGGCGGGTATCAAGTCAGCCGGAGGGCGCTTGTTTGCTCGGGGTGTCGCGGAGGCGGCATAACGTGGGGTTGCGTCCCGAAGAAGTGGGCGTCCCTTTAGCCCGAAACCCTATCATTGGGCGAGTGCAGCCAGGGGTTGTACAAGGAAGCGATGGTGGGCAGGCGAGCATACCACTTGGAGGAGACAGGCTTTGGAATATTGGACGCAGCGGAGTCAGCGCCGCACTGCGACGAGGGCGTCGTAGGATTTGGGTGGGGGAGAATGTCACGATCCGATTCCTAACGACGCCATGAGCATATAAGATACGCATGCTGGTTGGCTAAGAACATTCATTGACTGGGAATGGTTTCAGGGAAGGGGCGTGCAGGACCACAGGATGGTACCTCTTCAGAGTTCAGGCAGGTCGACTCGGTTCAGTTCGAGGTGCTTGTCGCTAGTCTTGGACTTGACTATGAAGAAGGGAATTGGCCATCCCTGCACAAACTGGTCGGGAGCTGGAGCCGTTCCCCTGACGAGGCCATGGCAGGCCGAAACCAGTCGGCATGTATCCTTGGGAGGGCAGGTCGTGGTGGCTGATTAGGGCGCTTGCGCGAGCTGAAGCAACGCCTTGGTGTCGCATAGGCCGTGCCGCTGCGCCAAATCTCTAGGCCCGTGACACTAAGCTCTGTTTGACCATATGCAGCTTTGACTCACACTGACAGAATAAAATTTTGTCACCACTTTGAAAAAGCTACATTAGACAGGGATTATCCAAATGCAATGCAACAACTGTATACAAGTTATGACCAGAAGGATATCCTACATATAAGTGCAGAGCACAAGGTTTTTTGTTGGTTCATAGGAAATGGCAAAAAATATGTATCACTATGGAACTTGGAAGCATGGTTAATTTATCAAATTAATTGCTTTAGTTGACACCATCTCATTGCATAAAATGTCTTCGTATCATTTTCTAAATTCGATAAGATTGCGGTAATTTTCTTAAATGGTATGTGGTGACCCAAGTGATAGGTTCCACGCTTTCAAGTGTTAATTTACAAGAAATTTACAAGAAATTTTATGATATTTAGATGAGTTTTACCATCATACTTCCTTAGAATGCGTTTGGTGAAAAAGAAAAAAATAGATAAAAAAAAATTTAGGTGGTAGATGTGTTACATCTAAAAAGCACGGCTTAAGTGAAGCTGGGACGTTGTTGGGCTGCTTTCCAATCTCACTAATGCCACCATAGCCACATTTGAAGTGTGTAATGTTGTCTGTGCTACAAAGCATTATATTATTTAATAGTAACCGATTTGCTTATTATATTAGTGAAGATACCAAATCAAATACAAATTAATAATTATTAAAATATCTTTAACTCATTTATATTTTGGTACTAAATACAAATATTATATGATAAACAAAATTTGTGATATTAAAAAAAAATCAATACAAGTTGATTTTCATAAATTATTGAACTCAATGAAATCTTATAATATTTAATATTAGAAAATTAGTACATATTTATTAGTGTCGGGATAATATAGTAAAATTAATAATAAAAGTGTTTTAAACAACATTATAACCAAACAAATTTAAAAATAATTTAAATATAAAAAGTGATTTAGACAATGTGTCATCAAACACATAAACTTTCATCATTATAAGAGTAATCCCAAACGAACTCATAGTCTTAAAATAAGTGTAGAAATGGTGACTCACAAAATTAAGTTTATTATTATTGTTTTTTGGTTACAAATTAGTATAATGATTTTCTGAATTACAGTATTAATCTAGCGGGTCTGAATTCCTATAAATTTGCAAAAATAAAAATAAATAAATAAAAAATCCTATAAATTAATGCCGAATTTCCTACCATGTCCATACTTCTCGAAGTCCGACCCTAATTTTGGAGTGTCCCTAGTCACTAGACTCACTATACAGACGCGCACGCGCGCATATATATATATATATATATATATATATCTTTCTATAATTTCAATTTGTTTTGTTTCCCTCAACCTAGTAGATTCACAGCACTCCACCGACTTGCCTGAAAACACAGAAATCCCCATTTTCATCCTCTTCGGAGGCTCTATCTCATCTCCTTCAATTCTCACACCGGAGGCTTCTATCTCATCTCCTTCAATTCTCACACCCGAGTGTATATATCTGTATCGGTGTGTGTATATATATATATATATATATATATATATATATATCTATATATTTGTATGTAATGAGAGGTCGTGATCGGATAAACCTGATCCTACCGGACGAGTTGATCCTCGAGATCTTCGGCCACCTCGATTCGAAATCGAGCCGCGATGCGTGCTCTCTGGTCTGCAAGAGATGGCTCGACCTCGAGAGATCCAGCCGTGACACCATCCGAATCGGCGCTTCTGCTAGTCCCGACGCGTTGGTCAATTTCTTGGCTCGTCGCTTTGTCAATGTCAGAAAAGTATATTTTGACGAAAGGCTATCAATTCCTCGTCTCGGTCAATCCGCAAAAATTGTAAGTTTTTGCTCAAGTTTGTTTCTTTTTGGAATTGTTTGGTTTCAGAGAATTTATTTATGAATTATAATGGATTAGGGAGGTGGAAAATTAGTTAATTTGGTAATTCATACGACTCTTTGAAAAGACTGGTAAGTATTATTTTTTACCGGAAATTGATTCAGTTTGAATTCCTCATCAAGTGAATAATGCTCATAACTTCCCTTTAGACCTAACTGCTATTGAAGCTTCATCTAGTAAAGGATGAGACTTTTTAGTGTACTAGCTCTCGAAAGTAAAGGAGCAATAACCAATTTATTGTTCTATACAGAGTTGGTCTTGCTACTTTGTTTTTATTTAGGAGTGGGCCACTCAGCATTTGCTGACTAGCGATGGAGTTAGGAATATACTTTAGGGAGATGAGGGAGAGAGAGTGGAGATGGTGGAAGAAATTCAACGCAGCATGATACCATGTCTTGTTTACGTTATGCCAGCAACTAATTAAATCTTAATATGGGCCCACTTGAATACATACCCCATTTGTTTATATAGCATATTTAATTTGTTGGTGATACCACCTCTGCAAATGACACGATATCATTGTTGCATTGAAGACTTTCTTGATAGAGGGAGTTTTAGAGAGAGTTGGAAAAAGAGAAGAGATTAATTCACAATAAAATGGTGGGAGAATTTTGAAGAGGGCAAAAAAGAGTTTATGGTGGTAGCTTGAAATAGAAAAAAAAAATTGAGTAGGCACTATGTAGCTTCACGCTTACACTTGATTATAATTACAATTTTTTGGCCAATTTTGAAGCATTTTATTTGAAATTTTAATAGTGCTATTTAGGATTCTTAACACCCATATGAGGGAAAATCATATTAGCTACATCATTATTAATGGTGAGGAGATGGCAAGTGAAGGAGAGGTAAAGCAAGATATTATACAGTTGTATGAGAACCTCTTCTATATTGAGTGTTGGAGGATGAGACTGTTGCTAATTCTGGAGTTTGCCGCTATTTGCGAGGAGGATAGGAATTGGTTTGAGAAACCCTCTTTGCAAAGGCAGAGATGGCAGATGCTTTGAAGTGCTGCAATGAGGCTAAGGCACCGGGCAAGATGGATTGACTATTTATCTTTCTCTGGCAGTGTTGGCTGATGGTGGAGGGATGAGATGACATTTATTAATAATTTTTTAAAAATTGGGTGCCGAAGAAGAGGGTGCATGGACATTAAGGACTTTAAGTCAATCAGCTTGGTGTGGATTGTAGAGCGTGTATAGGCTATTTAGCTTAGGTCCTATCCTTGACATTGAGTATGGTGGTGGAGGGGGCCATTTAAAAGTTTCAAAACCTTTCGTCAGAGGTAGATTTTCTGATATGGAACTTGTTGCGAATGACATTGAGAATGTTTTCTGTTTTCTCTCATTCCAAATGGAATTGTTGTTTTGGGTGTGTGTGTGTTCTCATTTGCATCCTACCACTTATAACTATAATATATTTTGACCAAAAAATGTTGGTACCAGTGACTGTGCACTATATCTCATGCTTCAAAATATGTCACCTTTTCTGTCCAGTGAACAAAAATTGTTTTTTTATTTTATTTTTTAAAATTCTTTTCTGCTTTCCATTTTGTTGTGGTGGCCATATAAAGATTCATGAATTAGAACCTTAAAGGAACGCATTGATACCCCTCGATTCTAGAGCCACAGGTGATCAAGTCCGAGCGCAGAACCGAAGGATATCAAACAATTAATATTTAAACAAGCATTGAATACAAAAAGAAAATAAGAATAAATAAATAATTGGAAAGGAAACTAAATAATAACTCCTTAAATAAATAATTAAATAATCCTTTAAATGATAATATCCAAAATCTCTGATATCATTACAACTCGGGAATCCATCATGTGGACCCCTATCCATAATCCAACTGAAACTAAATAAATATATGAAATAAAACTGAATCCAAATACTAAAACATAAGGTAGACTCCTACGTCGAATCGAAAGAGTGAATAGATAGTCTCTGCTCGGTACGAACCACCTCTATGACTGGATCTGACGAACATCTGAAAAATAATAGCGGGTCAGGCACACGAACAAGTTCTAACCTACTACATCCCAAACAGAGACCCGATATACGTATACATTTTAGTCAATTCAATAATAACTATATAGTCCGTATATATATACATACACACTAAAGGAATCTTACTAGACTATAGGGTTGTCTCAACCTGAATAGTAGGCAACATGCAAAAATGCACATATAGTTGGTATGAGTACCTAGACTTATTAGGGTACATAACTACACTGTATCTAGCTACACATCCCTGGCAACATACGCACCCTAACCATAGATCCTGAGATTCAAGCTTATATCATGGCTCATAACTAAATATATATAAATATAATAACCATCCTATCCAATATAAAGTAAATCACGATAGGTCATTCAATTTGTTCAGTTGACCTGACACGAATATAAGTAGGACTTAACATTTTAGTTAATCCATTCCCTTATACAAAAATAGGTAGGATTTAACTGATAAGTTAATTCGTCCCTAGAATGCCACCATCCCATACTGGTTTATTAAATCATACAATCCATAATTGATGAAATAAATTTAATAATACATCAATTAAATTTAGAGATGAGCATAATAAAAATCAGACATATATATGATCATATTATACTGACAATATATGACTAAAATCAGATATACATACATCACGAAACCTTGCTAGATTAAAGTTAAGCAATTATATCCTCTATCAACAACATACATATCTATTAAAGTCCATGTTGTTCCTATCATTAGCATATCAATATTTAATCATGCTTTCTTATTCCTCCATGAATCTATCTTAACAGATTTGAATCTATCTTAAACAGATTTAGAACATTTAAAACAGATCTAACACATCCAAACACATACAGTATGCAAAAATCTCAGAAACAAATCCCAGTGCCAAACCGGTCGGCCGATACAGCTATTTCGGTCGACTGAAATAGCCAGTCCGGTCGGCCGAACCACAACCTCTACCCCTCACTGCTGAGCCACCTCGGTCGACCGAAACATCAAACCGGTTGGCCGAAACTCCGCGGTTGTTCATCTTCTTCTTCTCCGACGAATCTGCTCCTTCAAACCTCCATTTTTGGAGGTTCAAAGCTTACCTACTACGTCCCAGAGTTTTCCCATAATGATTTTAAAGCATATAAACATCTTTACATCAAACTAAATCACATGTCATGCATCATATTATTTAATCACGTAAAAACTATACAACCCATTACATATATAAACATAATGTAAATTCAGATTTTTAATATGCAAGAAAGTTTGTTTTAATCCCATTAATTGTTCCTGGAATCAAACTAAGCATGTACAAAAATAGACCCCATTTGTTTATATAGCATATTTAATTTGTTGGTGATACCACCTCTGCAAATGACACGATATCATGGTTGCATTGAAGACTTTCTTGATAGAGGGAGTTTTAGAGAGAGTTGGAAAAAGAGAGGAGATTAATTCACAATAAAATGGTGGGAGAATTTTGAAGAGGGCAAAAAGAGTTTATGGTGGTAGCTTGAAATAGAAAAAAAAAATTGAGTAGGCACTATGTAGCTTCACCCTTACACTTGATCATAAAAAAAAATTATATTAGTGAAAACGAATTAAAATATTCGTTTACTTCGTAAATTTATCCTTAATGCCATGTGATATACGAATCGGCTTGTCCTCAAATCTGCCATGCTCACTCTATGAGCATGTTTCTTCTAAAATGTAAACATTTGTTTCATAAAGCACAGTCAATCTTATAATTGTTCTTTAATTATAATTATTATTATTTTTTTTTTTGGAATTTGATGATTATCCTATTTGTACACCTCTTCAAAACTATCCTTTATCATTCTTAATTCTATGAGAAAGACCTTCTCCAATATCTCCCTCTGTCCCTCTTCATTAATAGTTCAGACTAGACAACAGAAATTACCATTCTTTTGGTGCAACATAGATATAATATTTAGTGGTAAAAAATTAAGATACTCTGATACTAGGCCATGATTTAGTCTCAAGGCACTCCATTTGAAGGGTGCCAGCAGACGTGGTCTCAGTATTAAGTTTGTATGAACTAATTTCCTTTATAAAGATGTTAATATATACGTTGTTATGAGTCTTTTGACCTGATTCAATTATAATTTGTTTGACTTTTATTAGCTTTCCTAATTGTGCAGGGAAGAAGACGTGGTATTGGTCAATCTGTGCTTTCGTCTCTTACTCACCATATGAATGATAAAATTGGGTCTGAAGATGGTGAAATGGAGTCGCACTTTTTATCAGATTCTGGTTTGACTGTCGTTGGTGAATGCTTTACAAAACTTGAGAAATTGAGCCTAATATGGTGCTCTAATGTGACAAGTTTTGGGTTGAAGTCTATCGCTGAGAGGTGTAGTTCATTGAGATCTTTGGATTTGCAGGTGAATATCTAGCTATCAGATCTGTACTAACACTTTAAATATTGCTTTGCTTTGTTGAAAAATGCAAGTTGTTTGTCAAACCCGTTTTGATATACTTGACCACTACTTCCAGTATCGTGTTTCATGCAAGTAATTCTTTTTCATTTCAAAGCTGGTTTTTGAATGCCATTGACTCGTTAGCGAGTTCTAATCTACTTTGTTCTGAGATTTCTTATATTCGTTGTACTGAGAGTTTCAGTGATTGTGGCTTCTCAATAAGTTTGGTCTATCATAGTTAGGGCCGAATTTATAGCCTGGCCCCTTAGAGAATTCCCATTGCATTGTTTTGAAGTAGACTATTTCATGATGGGAGTTGAGAAGTAGTGTTTCTTGTTTCTATTTTTATTTTTAAATTTAAAAAATTCCTATTTCATTATTAATGTTGGATTCATTCCCTCTCCTCCATGGACATAGGAAATTTGCTGAATAACCTAAATTTTTGTTCTTATCGTGCGGTTGGATTATATCCTTTATTGTCTTTGTTACATTATTAAACCTGTAGGCTGTAGTTGCATGCAATGTGCTCTGTCCCTTGATAGCGAGATTCTAGGAAAAATTCTGCCTAGGAATGATTTAGAATTAGTGACTTTCTGATATTTGAATTTGAATTCTCACGCTTGGCAGCCGAACTTTTACCACCTCAAAAGCAATGGTTCTTAATGAAATTGTGATATTGCGGGTTTGGGTTTGCTGTCCTTCTATTCTATGACGCACGGATACGGACACAGGTAGAACATATACGACAATATGACGAATCTTAAAAAAAAGGACACATGTATACGACAAGGATTCATCAAAAAATATATAAAAATACTTGTTGCTCATTTTCTAAAGAAAGTTCATTGTTATTTAACTCATACTAATATATTTGAAAATTGCATTGGATCACATTCTTCTAAGACAAATAATTAAAAAACTCCTGAAAGTGTTTTTTTTTTTTTTTTTTTTTCTAAGATTAACCTGGGGTGTCCGGGGCTTTGCCCCAACTAATCCCCAAGGACCCAAGAAGGGCGCCTCCCCACCCCAGGTCGGGTAAGTCACGGAGATTGACCATGGAGGCATAGCCCCAAGGAAAGTGTTTCAGATGTATCCATTCCATGTTCCAGGCGGATATCAGCCATGTCCAACTAGGAAAAAAAAAATTCAAATTCCAAAAAACATTTCTAGCCGTGCAGACAAATGTCCGGCCGTGTCTCACTTGTGTTTGTATAATACGCATGTCCGACAATACTGCCACGATGCCCTTGGGGGAAGTGTCCATGCTTCTTATCTCCTACTTTATGCTAATATAGGAAAGAGATTCTCCTCAAGGCTTAGTATGTTACCCAGGCTAGTATTGTCAAATGGTTAATAGCTATCTTTGCATGGATCACGGTCCGATTATTAACTTTTGGATTAACAAAGTTTGGCCAGTGGAAGGGGATCTTCGAAGTGGAAATACTCTCTTCTAAACACTTTTTTTTTTTTTTTAATGGAAATATATGGGTTCTGCCCATTTCTCTAAGATGTGAGACTTTGATAATGTGATCAAACTGGATTGAACTTGTGTGGTCACCCTTGGAGATGAACTGATGAAGGCAAATGTTGAATGAAGTTTTCAACCTATTAATAGCACCAGATTGCCATCTCCCTTGGCCCCAGATTGGCCAACTTCAATCCAGATTCCTTATCTTAAAGTAACTAACACTCGAGTGCTTGTATGGGTATTTTGTTATTGGGAGGGGCCTATGTATTTTGTAATTTTGGTGGTAATTCGTCTATTGTCTACACAAATATATTATATATGAAATTTGATTTGAAGGTCTGCATTTTATATCCTTCTCCCTCTGGTTGAAGGAAGAATGTGCCTTTGGAGACAAATCTTTCTATTATCATTTTCATAACTCTCTCTCTCTCTCTCTCTCTCTCTCACCCTTTTTTCTCTTCTCTCTTCTCAACCCCTAGAAATCAAAGTGATATAAAACCCTAGAAATCAAATTCATATACATCTACTTCAATTTGTCATGCACTTTTTCTCCAATGGAGATAGGTATCTTTGATAAGAAACCTTTTCTTATTACTAGTTATATTTTCATTTTTTAGTGTATATGCTTTAATTTTGAATTTTAGAATTGTATTTCATGACTAAATATATCAAGCACTTTTTGGCTTGTAAATTTTACCTACCATGATGGTTACTCTTTATGAGTTGTGGGATGAAATTTCAAATTTCACAAAGTAAAAGTTTTTTACATGGGAGCGCTCTCTCATTCGCTGATATTTGTGTGTGTGTGTGTGTGTGTTGTGTTTGTCTTGAGACATTCTTGCTCCATTTTGTCCTGACGCAGAGCTGTTGAGGCTGTTGCATTTTTTATGTTTCTGATGCTTACTGCACTGATACTAAATAGACAACTGGGTGGACTTCTAAGTTTATGTATTATATTTATTCCTTTTAAAGATTGCAGAGCCATCTTATTTGTTGTGATACATAGTTCAAATCAGTCTGTTTACTACTAATGCTTTTTTTTACATCAATTTTATCCCTCCAGTTTTTGTTGATTGCATATATAAAGCAATACATAACATCCCCTCTATTATATTTACATGCATGCTGTTCAAAGTGCAATATTAAATGTGCTAACTAAACGTTAGATATTTGCATATTTCTTTTCAAGGGTTGCTATGTTGGAGATCAAGGTCTAGCTGCTGTCGGGGAGTGTTGTAAGCAACTTGAAGATCTGAATTTGCGTTTTTGCGAGGGCTTAACTGATAGGGGGTTGGTTGAGTTAGCTCTCGGTTGTGGGAAATCTCTAAAATCTCTTGGTGTAGCAGCTTGTGCTAAAATAACTGATGTCTCATTAGAAGCAGTGGGATCTCATTGTGGAGTTCTTGAGGCATTGTCACTGGACTCAGAGTTCATCAATAACAAAGGGGTACTTGCTGTGGCCAAAGGATGCCATCTTTTGAAAGTTTTGAAGCTACAATGCATTAATGTTTCAGATGAGGCTTTGCAAGCCGTTTCCGATTTCTGTCATTCATTGGAATGGTTGGCTCTTTACAGCTTTCAGAAATTTACTGACAGGTCAGTCCTTTGTGAAAGGTTTTTTTGCTGGATATCACTTGTTGATTTTGGTATTATTTAGACAAACCAACCTGGAAAGCCAACATATTCTGTTCAGATTTTCTATATTAGTTTCCATGTACTGAGCGCTCAACATTTCTCATATTTCTTAAAGTTTAGTCTTCTGTCTTTTATCCTTGATGCTATGATTTCTATGAAGTTATTAGATGCATTTAGCTAGTAATGCAATATTCAGGATTTTGACTGAGATCGTTGTCTTTATCTGATCTATTAAACAATATATTATATATTGGCTTATCTGCTTCATGTTACAGATTCTGCTGGTAGTGATATGGCTGAATGTCTGACTAAGAATGATAAAAGTCTCATCAGCATGCTCGTTTGTGAAATTTTCTGTTTACAATTTCAGGAGTCTATATGCTATCGGGAAAGGGTGTAAGAAGCTAAAAAATTTGACTTTGAGTGATTGCTATTTCTTAAGTGACAAGGGTCTGGAAGCAGTTGCGGGTGGCTGCTCTGAACTTACATATCTTGAAGTCAATGGCTGCCACAATATCGGAACAAGTGGACTGGAGTCTATTGGAAGATCATGCATGTAAACTTTGATGTCATTTTTTTAGTTTAAATTATATATAAATTAATATTATTGTGTACTAATAGCATGAAATGCATTCTAATCTTGTTTTGCTGAGTTACTATCTAGCCGTCTTGCTGTGAAGCTCTGTTTCAAGTCGATTTTCAATTCTTTTTGAATGGTTTATAATCTGTCATTTTTTCTATGGGAAAATTTTTTGTCGCATAAAATTTACATTCTTTAATATTCACAAGTTCTTTACTGGAATAGAACTATGGTTCCTGCAGTATTTCGGTTCTCTGCTTTTATGTATATAGTAAAAGAATAAATCAATGTAAAGAAGGAATGAATATACAAGAAAGATGAGAAATCTTTCCAGTAGAGAAACTGAATACCACTCAACTAGAGACAATTTAAGGCCAGACAAAAACACCCACCCTCTGCAACAGCAGAGAATGTCAAGGGAGTGAAAATTTCCTTCCTTGGAACCACCTAAGAAGTCAGTGCTTCACCTGCAAATAAATGCTCTCCTTGGAGTTTTAAATTCTTTTGGCAAGTTAGCTATACGACTGCTTCATCTTCTGGAATATCTTCTACATGACATTATTGTCTCCAAATATCTTCTTTATGGCTTTTCATTGACCCATGCTGGGATTGATTTTTCTTTTAGTTGCTTATGAGGCCGGCTGAAGCCAAACCTGTTCAAATTTTGTTAGCTAGGTATGATAGCATCACCTATTGCCTAGAGAATTATTGTGGAACAGCTGAAAAAGGCTGGGAAACTCCGGTGTTTATTTATTTATTTTTGAGTGCATTATTGGGATATGAAATGGATTAGAACCTTATTTAGTGATGGTGGAAGTGTGAATATCTTAAATTTTGAATACTAGGGACTGTTTCCCTTGGGTAAGGAATGGGACTCCATAGAAATGAAGGAAAAAGTACATATGGATGGATTAGAATGGAGGAAGGGCATTTTTCTAGCTCAACTACCTTTGTCTAAGCATGCCATAGAATACCCAAAACAATTTTCACTCACTGATCATCTCATAGAGGCATTGGATTGTCGCCGGCATCTACCGGAGCAATCACTTTTTATAACCAAAGCAACTGCATGAGGTAATCTAGCACCTGTTCAGAGAATCATCCTTAACACCTCCAATATTATCTATAGAACCATTTTTTTTCCCAAGTAGAGAAGATAGCTGTTTTTTGTCTCCCTCACATTTCTTAAGCCATTGGCTGACATTTGTATTTTGCCCCTCTACAGAGAATCCACAGTTACCTAAGAGTAGGATCTTTTTAAAGCCCCATAAATCTTGTCTTGTTTTTTTGCATCACCATACTGATTGCATGGAGGAGACAACTATAATCTGTAACGCTGGTGATTCATAATTGATATTTTATATGCCCCCCTTTCTTTGAAGATGTAATGCTTGGTAGTACCTTTTCTCCTCTTTGAATCTTGTTGGCTAATCTAGCACGTGTTATCTTTATATGGATATGCTGAGCATTCACCTCTAAGGTTCTTCCATCCGATGGAAATATATCTGTGCCCTCGAGGTTGTAGCTTTTGTGGAAATGATAAATCTGATTCAATCAAATTATCTGTATTAGCCGTTTCTTTGCCTAAGTCTCTTTCTCCAAAGCACCACCGCGGCCAACAAGGCTGCCGTACGGCCTGTACCCGTGTCCGAGGCTTGGACACGTGTTTGACAAGCTGCTGGAAGTGTCCCTTTTTTTTTTTTTTTTTAATAATATAAGTTGGACACTCCATCGGACACGTCTGATGTCTGATGATACTGGGTACGTCGACGGCATGTCTGCGACTGTTCGGAGGTTTTTCATAGAGAAGATGTAGATGTTATATATATATGTGTGTGTGTGTGTGTATCTATATAAAGTGATGTATAAAGTTGGAGATAAAATAGATATTTAAATATGTGAAGAGATGAATTTGAGAGAACCATATATGAGAGAGATTGAGGAAAAGCGAGGTGAAGAGAAAGAGAGGCGTGACAGGCACAGATAACTGATAAGAAAGAGAGTGAGGAATAGGGGGGATAACCGGATAAGATCAAAATCTTATCTTCTTTTATTTCCCACCACATTTGGATAGAAATTGCAACTTTTTGATATATAGCTATTTAATAGAATTTGAGCAAAAACTGAAATTTTTATATATAATAAAGAAATATATTATTATTTTATTGCCGTGTCTCTGTCCTAAATTTTCCGTATCGCTGTGTCCGTGTCAGATAATCTTGATTTTAGATATGTTGATATTCATATAAATTGAATTAAGTTACTGCATGTTTGTGTTTGGCTAGTTATCTTACCATGCATTTGTTTTTACTTTCCTTGTGATGTTCATTTATTGTTTTTTGACTTAATATTGCAGACACCTTTCCGAGTTAGCTCTATTGTACTGCCAAAAGATAGGTAACTCTGCCCTTTCTGAAGTTGGCAAAGGCTGCAAATACTTGCAAGCTCTTCATTTGGTAGATTGCTCAAGTATTGGGGATGATGCCATATGCAGTATAGCTAGAGGCTGTACGAACTTGAAAAAACTTCACATCCGTCGATGTTATGAGGTATTCTTCTTCCTCTAGCTCTTTTATTTCTTGCATAATTTCCATTAAAATTAAATATCTGGCAATCACCAGGATTTTATTGTTATTTGAACTATTTTTTGGGCATTTATTTTGCATGGATAAAATATTGTTCTTCTGAGACATTGCCAGAAGACTTGCTTGACCTACTGAAATGCCAATGTAGAATTCTGGGCACATGATAATGAAAAAAAAAAAAAAAAAATGTCCACTTTACGTCAATAAATCCGTCAGTTCACGAAGTATGGAGTAATTGATCAAGCTTGTAAACATTCCTACAATGGAACACTAATGATACTAGAACTCATGCCTTACTGAGCATGTAACCCCATTTTAATGATTTATTCAGGAATAGTTATTGCTGTGATTCATTAGATGGTTGTTTTGCCCAGAAAAAGTGCAAATATGGTTACATTTTGAATATTTGAGTCTGAACAACCTTGTGTGTGTAGTCATTTTCACATTCAGAACACCAGTGGCTATATATTTGTGAATGATGTTCTTATTTGACATCATTTGTGAATGTTCTTATTTGACATACAAAGATGTCTCTTCTAATAGTTCATGTTCAGAAAGACATTTTAGATTTTGACATTATATCTCACATGCTTTCCATGTGATCTGCAGGATAAGTGATTTGCTAATTTTTTTTATTCAACCTTCTAGATGTAATATTTTATTTCCCAGTCTTCATGGGGAGCTATTATCTTTTCCAGAATCGACTCAGATTTTTGTAAACTACACTTAAATGCCATTTGGATTCTCTAATTGTTAAAATATGTAATTTGAGGGAGACAATTATTTTTTGTTAAGACAATCTGCTTCAGTAAATAATTTACATTTTTCCCTTTTCCTTTTTTTTGTGTAATGAAGGTTGGAGATAAGGGAATCATAGCTGTTGGTGAGAATTGTAAATTCCTTACAGACCTTAGTCTTCGGTTTTGCGATCGGTAAGAACTTCTTTTCTTAATAGTTACAGACTTCCTATCTATTTGTAATTCTCATGTTACGTGCTGAAGCATTTATAGTCCACTGAAGAATTCAACGTTTTGTTAAGAGTTATTAGTCTTCCTTGTTTACCTTGCTTAAATTTTATAATACTGTTGAAGAGGGGTGTTGCAAAAAATATAATTTGTATGCTCATCATGTTATGTAAGTTGAAGCAAAATTACAAGAGTGATGCTGTTATGAATGCCTCTTTTGAATGTGGTGACTGGTATATGGTTGGTTTTGGTGTTGGTTGATCAGCTGGCAAAGGCTGGTTCTTTGCCAATTTCTGGAAAAAAAAAAAGAAAAAAGGCTGGTTCTTTGCCAGCTATGATTGAGCTACCAAGGTTTTGTAGAGGTTTACCAAAAAGATTTTTGCAACGGTGTTTAAATCTGTATGGTTATGTTTTTTATTTATTTATTATTATTATTATTAGTTATGTTATTGTGTGTGACCCCTTCGTCATAGATCACTTTGGTGTGTGGTCTTTGTTGTTGAATTATTGGGCCTCTATCTGACTTTATATACTATATAATTACCAGGGTAGGGGATGAGGCACTAATTGCTATTGGTCAAGGCTGCTCCCTACATCAGTTGAATGTTAGTGGCTGCCATCAAATTGGGGATGCTGGAATTATAGCCATTGCGAGAAGCTGTCCTCAACTCAGTTACTTAGACATAAGCGTTCTTCAGGTATGGTGCTTGTATTGCATTTTTGCTATGATCAGTAACTAATGTCCTAACTGTTTTGTTGATTTCAAAATTTAAACTTATTTCATTTATCTGTGCTGTGACTTCCGTGCTTAGCAGTATGTCCAGTACAACTCCAAACCCAAATCTACAATAACAGGAGTTCCAATGGTCTGATTGTTTAAGAGAGAGTCTTATGACTGAACTACTGTTAGTAACATCATATGTATACATGCCTTTATACAAGTGATTTATCCGCATTTGGGATTATGTTATCCGTAAAGGCAACAAAGTGAACAAATGGTGCTAGTGATCATTATGTGCATCCATATATCAGAGATCAGTGTTTCTCTAATTTCTACTTCCTTTTTTTTTCCTTTGAATTTGTTGAATCTTGACCAGATTTGGACATGTAATTGATTATTAAAATTGTGGGAGACAATTTGGCATGTAAGCAGGGGTTTTACTGGGCTGGTTTCTGCTTTTACTATCATGGTATGCTCATTGAGCCCTTAATTGCAGCGTCTAAGACAAAAGCTGTTATGTCCATTATATGGGTATTTAATAACCCCTCCAGTCATTATTTTGGCATATTGTGGTGTTATTCAACTCATACTAGGATCTCAATGTAACTTTTTTTTCCCCCCACCTTTAACCTCTCCCAATCTTCTGTCTCCTCTCTTCATTCTCTTCATTATCTTTAAGTTTTGTGGTATTTGAATGTTATATGTCAGTTTATGATATGACCGGAAATATCAGTTTTTGTCCCATAACTTTTCTTGATCTTAATATGATTATTTGAGAGTTGCTACTGGCACTCCTTTTTGCTTCCTGCACTCTGCAGCATCTGTGCATGGAAATCCAAAACTAGATGGAAGTGGAGTACAGGAAACTAGTGGAGTTCCATCAAAGATGCTCTTGTTTTTCCTCTCTTCCATTCTCCTATAGTCCCCTGAAATGCCTATGCTACTATGCTTACTCCAATATTTCCATTATATCCATTGTATGCCACGATACCATATGTTTTCGTTTTCATAATTCGGGAAACATTGATCATAGTTGAAGTTGGACATTAGTAGTGGATCATGAAGTTAAATATTATAGCTTCTATTGTCTGGTGCCTTCTTTTATTCTTTTCTTTCTTCTTTTGGTTTGTGGGTGGGAGGGAGAGGGTGAGATAAAGGCAAGAAAAAACCAGGCGAGAAAAAAACAACAAAGAATAGTGAAGGGGGGATTCCCATAAAGGATTGCATTTTCTGTTTTGCTCTGGGACTGGTAAGGCCAAACCATTTCTCATTTTATGTCCACTATCATTTCTGTTTCCAAATTTTGAAAACACAGAGGCTTTGAACTAGACCTTGAATCTCAACACTTCTACCTACGGTTACATTAACATCAATTTTCATTCTGAACCAGTCTTTGAGAGAGGCATGACCCAAATTGCCATTGTATTGTTGAATAGACAAACTTGTGATGGTTGTTGGGATAATGGATTAAATTGCATGAAGTTTGGGTGCATTTGAGATCGCTTGTGATGACTTGACCCAAATTGTCATTGTATAGTTGAATGTACAAACTTGTGATGTTTGGGATAATGGTTTAAATTGCACAAAGTTTGGGTGCATTTGAGATTGCTTGGGATGACTCCTTGTCAAGTGTGCACACCCACACACATTTTTTAGCTACACATGCTTGTGTTATATTCATGATGTAATTTAGGTGGATTTCTGCTTTTATAAGAGGGCATTATATGTTTTCCCTTTTAAATTTTGTCATTGGGTTTTGCTCACATTGTTGAGATTCATGGGTAACGGACCCTCACTATCTTCAAGTTCTTTATTCCCGTCATGTTTCTTCATGTTTCCATATCTCTCTTTCCTTTCTTTTCAACTTCAGGGAACAATTTTCTCTACCTTTGAAGTCTATAAAAACAAAAAGGAAGTTACTTCATCTTTAGATGCAACATTGGCAATTTTTTGGTTCTGGTCTCTTTTCGATGTAAATTAACTTGGGGTTCTGAAAATTCTCAGAAGTTCTGGTATGCAATTTAATATAATTTTGAAAGATCTCGGTTGTTTTACATGACAAATGACGGTGGTGGCAACTTGAGGACTCACATCCTTTTTACTGACACTTCCATTCTTTGCTAGTTAATGTAACATGATTTCTATTCGATGATATCATGAAAACTCTGTATGTTTAAATACAATCTAATTTTAGGATGCTCTGTATTTTAACCAAATAATTTTTATTCGCAAGGATGCCTTATCCACTCATTCATTTTTCTTTTCCTTTTGACAGAATCTGAGTGATATGGCAATGGATGAGTTAGGTAAAGGCTGTCCATTACTCAAGGACATAGTGCTATCACACTGCCGTCTCATAACAGACGTTGGTTTAGCCCATCTCGTTAAAAGATGCACATTGCTTGAATCCTGTCACATGGTTTATTGCCCAGGTATTACTGCAGCTGGGGTTGCCACTGTGATCTCGAGCTGTGTCAACATAAAGAAGGTCCTTGTCGAGAAGGCAAAGGTTAGTCAGAGGACCAAACGGAGGGCTGAGTCCATCATCTCCTACCTATGTGTAGACCTTTAGACACCAAATTACATATTTATCTTTAAAGCTTCCAGTTCCGTGCACACAAATGCAAGATCAATGTTAGTCCAGATTCAACTCTGTTGCTTGCATGAAAATAAGCGCTTGAACTTGTTTGTATTTAATCCCACGTTGTTCCCTTAATACGTCTGTTCTCATGTACCATTTTGTAATAAGGTGTCGGGATATTGGGAAGTAGTTGTCAGTTAACATGAATAAGTCCTATGATTTGCAGGTTTGATTATACAAAAATCTTGTAATTAATTTTATCTTTTGCTGTTTGTTTCAGTGCATGTATTTTTGTACATTCTTGTTAAAATGGTATTAATTTTATCGTTTCCTTTTCCTTTTCCTTTTCGTTCTGAATGAAACAATTAAATTGAAATACCAATGGCTTAGAGCTTCATCATTCTTTTATACTAGATCATTCTGTGTCTATTTTGTTATTTAGCACGTTTCAGTGCTAAATATTACAAAGCTGAGTAAATTCTGTATGGATTTGTATAGGTTCTGTGATTAAAAAGTAGGTCATTACATGGAAGCAAAACCAACTTGAAATGAATATGTAATTATCTGGGATTAGGAGAGCATTTAGATCTCACAATATTGTCTCCCTGACAAAAAAAAAAAAAAAAAAAAAAAAATTGAAAAAATTGAGTTGGGACGACCTAACTCTACAGGCTACTCTCAATCACGGTTGGCCCAACTCTTTACTGTGAGGTAATTGAGTGTGTGTGATTCGCCACTCCACACCTAACTCTCAATCACGTTCGGCCTAACTCCCTATTGTGAGAGAATTGGGTGTGGGATTCACCAACGCAAGTTTACCACACTCCACGTATACTTAACTCTCAGAATAGTTTTTTATATTCAGAAAATTAAAAATTGTACAAAAAATTCTGTTTGGTTCAAGTTTTTGAAAATTATTTTCTAAAAACCCAGTTATAAAAAGAGACCTTCTAATTTTTTTGAAAAGTATTATGACATTAAATTTCGTAAGCTTAGCTCAGGAACCCCACTATTAGTGCAATGCATATTGTATGTAATCTGGTTGCACAACAAAATTTGCAGCATGGTATTGCTATTTCAAATATTATTGATCTGTCAGGAGATTGTATAAACAAATACACACATATTTAGTATGAAGACCTATTAGTTGATTTGAGATATCAATGTCAACCTGAAGAAAAAAAAAGTTTCTTGATAAAATCGTTTGATTAGGGAAAAATTATATCCCTTAGGAACCCGCAAAGGAATAGTAGGAAAAGAAAAGAAAAACTACGTAGTAGTTGTCAATCTGAAAGAAAAAAAAAAAAAAAAAAAGAAAAAGAAAAAGAAAAAGAAAAAGAAGAAGAAGAAGAAGAAGAAGAAGAAAAAGAAAAAAGAAAATACTTGAGTCCTGTCCCATCAAGACATATTGTGTCCTGCACATTAACGTGTCCCAATTAGAGGTTAACATCTCTTTTAAACTTAAAAAATACAAAACATGGATTATACCCATTTTTTAGGATGAAACCCGACATATCTATTTTTTTTTCCTCTCTTTACTTTCATCTATGTATCTTTATATGCATCTTTCTTTTTCCTTAGCCGCCAATCATTCCAAACCTAATATTCCCATTATGTCTCTACCACTTGGCTTCAAATTGGATTTCGATTTTGATTTGGTATTAGCAAGAATTGATTCATTTTCTTAAAACAAGTATATTAATACATTATATTTGTTCGGCGTGTTATTTTTCTCTCTTTCAAATAACTTAAATCGAGTAAGAGATTTTGTTCAAATTTTGAGTTTTTTTCGCTTTAAAAAAACATGGACAATGGTTTTTGTTCTGTTCCTTTTGCTCTCATTCTTATTTACAGAAAAAAGTACGTAGGAAATAAAATAAAATAGAAACCTTAGAATTAAGTGAAAAAAGGAATAACTTTCATATATAGCATGCATAAAAAATGGTTAGTTCAAATTTTTTAATGATAATTTTCTATCTTAAGAAACTTTAAAATAACAGAACAAGGTAGAAAATACAATTTTAGATGAGTTAAGTAAAAAAATAGATCTTTTGGATTTAACTATAAAAATTTATAAAATGGATGTAACCCATATTTTGTATTTTTTTAAGTTTAAAAGAAGTGTCAATCTCTTATTGGGACACGTCAGTGTGTAGGACACAATCTGTCTTAATGGACAGGACTAAATCATTGTCCAAAAAAAAAAAAAAAATAAGAACCAAATATTTACTTTCCATGTATATACGTAAGTACATAATGAGACATATATTATGTTCGGAGTTTTTTTTGTGCAAGCAGATTTTTTGAACGACCTCGTTTTGAATTTCAGAAGAATAAAACGACTGCGTCTAATTGAACTCTCAAGAAGTTCAGGTGCTTTTCTCATATATTTCCTTTACTAAAAACACACCAGAGTATACCAACAATCAGAGTATACCAACTATGCCCGGTGGTTGCAGCATCAGAGCTCTCTGGATCCTCAACAATCACGACGTCGTCGTCTTCTCTCGGTAATACACACATACGTATATATATAGATCTCATATATGTATATGAACATTCTACGATTTGCTTAAATCCTAGGGTTTTCGCACATAGTTCTCGCTTGATTTCTTTAGTGCATTATCGTCATTCTTCTAGTAGTAGATCTATTTTCATTCAGATCTGGTAAATATATGTATGCGCATGCATATATTAGATTTTGATATATATAAATTGTTGCTTTTGTAATGAAAATATGTAGGAGGTTTCCGGTAGTTGAGGGGCGGTGGCGTGCAGCTTGCAAGAGCGGGAACAAGACCACCACCGATGATAATTTTAAGTACACTGTGTTGCCCATACTTCCGACTGATTCAGAGTTAGCTGCTGCATTTGTGGACCGCAAAAAGAGGTCAATTTTAACACAATTCTTTTGCTTATATATAGATATATATATCTTTTTGATTCAATATACCAATGATTATACACTCAAACATGTAATGATATGTGCATGGGCTACTCAATCCTTTTAATCATATGTGTATAAAAAGGTTTTGAATCTCTTGATTTCACTTGGATAGTTCAAATTGTGATAAATATTGATGTTAGAGTGATGTACTGATGAGGGGCACTGTAATTCAGCTGGAAGAAATAAACTATTTCATATTCTTATTAGTTCCAGAGCTGGTTGTCTTTGCATCTTTCTGATAATGATTGAAGCTCTTTTATATGAGATGATAGCTTAAGGATTTCCCTGAAGGTGACATTGGCTGCATATATGTGTAAGATGTATATACTTGTATATTTTCTTGGAATTGCCATGAATTACGGCAAACACATGCTTTCATGTATAAAATTTTGTAGGTTATAGTATACTTCTGCCGAGGCTTTCATTTTCAAGGTGATGTGGCATTTGTGATGTATTTCTTATTAAATGCCCATTCAAATGTAGTTCATTTTGCTGTGTGGCATATGGTGACACATACACAATTTTTAATAGAGTTATGTCGCTAATTGCTACCATTTTTTTTTAATCCACCTGCATAGTGTGGTTTATGCCCTCTTTTGATTGTAATATGGAAGATTGAGACCCCTGCTATTCTGTTTTGTAATTAAACTTGATTGCTGAAATGACATATTCATGGGTTTCTCCTTTTTCTCTCCCCTTTTTTAAACAAGGCACAAAAGATGGGGAGAAGAATATATATATAAATTTGCTAAGTTAAGGAAGAGGAAAACTAGGGATTTTAGCCATATTAAATGTATTAAGAGTGAAAATTCATGGGTTTCAGTAAAAGGCGATGGAATTAAAGAGAGGTGAAAAAGTTATTTTGAGAAATTGCTAAATGCAAACACTATAGGAAGTCCCCAAAAATGAGCATCTTTGCGTGGACTCTTATCAGCCTTCACCTTTTTCGCCTATGTTGGTGTAGTTACTGTAGCTTCGCCTAGGCTTAGAAGAATATGTTGGAGAGAACATATTTTGCTATAGGGTCAAGGAGTGCGAAGTTAGGAATGCTTTAAGGAAGATGAAACCAGGGAGAGCTTTAGGACCCGATAGCATTCATATTGAGGTGTGGAAGTGTCTAGGAGAAGTTGGCTCATCTTGGATAACAAAATTGTTTAATAAGATAATAACATCTATGAGCATGCCGGGGAGTGGATCCAAAGTATTCTAGTACCTATATATAAAAATGAGGGGGCCAAGTTGTAATAATTATCGTGGTTTGAATTGATGATCCTCACTATGAAACTTTGGGAAAGTGTGATTGATCAACACCTAAGGCGAGAGGCGGAAGTGTCGAAAAATCAATTTGGATTCATGTCGGGTAGGTCAGCGATAGAGGCTATTTACTTATTGAGGAGACTAATGGAAACATATAGAGAGAAGAAGAGAGATCTCCATTTGGTTTTAATGATTTGGAGAAAGCTTATGATATGGTAGCTAGGGACCTAATATGGAGGGTTTTAGAAAAGAAAAAAGTCACAAAGGGATAAATTGACACAATAAAGGACATGTATGATGGTTGTGTGACTATAGTTAGAATTGCAAAGGAAACAAGTGAATTCCCAATGATTGTAGTCTTACACCAAGGGTCGACATTAAGTCCATACCTTTTTGCCTTGGTTTGGATGAGTTGATAAGACACATCCAAGATTAGATTCCGTGGTGTATGTTATTTGCTGATGATATTGTTTTAGTTGACGAGACTAGAGAAAGAGTTAATGCCAAATTGCAAGTTTGGAGAGAAGCTTTAGAACTAAAAAGGTTTAAGATAAGTCGTGTTACGACAAACGTAGCGAACCCAAGTAACAATCACGAAACATGACAGAAAAGTAAACACACCACACATTGAGAACACAAAGATTTATATGTGGTTCGGCAAAGCCTACCTCCACGGTGGAGATCTGGCGAAAGTCTTATGTGTAAAATCAGAGATTACAAGGTTCAGCCCCTCATTCTATTTTTGTACGATTTTCAGTCTCTCTCTCTCTACCCACTCCAAATCCTAAACGCCCTTATATATTGGGCTACAAGAGAGTACTAATTAGGGTCCACGACCCACAAGCAAAAACGGGTCAAAAAGTTTTCCAAAACGTCTGGTCGAAAGCGGGTTGCAATGCGACTTGTCACCGAATTCGGACCACCACATCACAAGCCAAAATAAAACTGATTATATGGAGTGCAACTTTAGTAGATTTACAAACATAGGTAAGGATGTAGTGAGGATTGAGAATCAAGAGATACAAAAAGGTGGACATTTTCGTTATTTAGGCTCAATTATTCTTAAATGAGGGAAAAATAGGAGATGATGTTAAACATATAATCAAGACAGGATGGGTTAAATGAAGAGTGCATTTAGTATATTATGTGATAGATGTATCCCTTTACGATTGAAAGGAAATTTTTATAGAACAACTATTACACCAGCCATACTTTGTGATATTGAATGTTGGATAGGTAGGAAACAACATTGCATAAAGTGAGTGTGGCTGAAATGCGAATGTTGAGATAGATGTACGGTAAGACTAAAAATGATAGAATTAGAAATGATCACATTTGGGAGATGGTTGGAGTAGCACCAATAGGAGATAAAATGAGAGAAAATAGGTTAAGATGGTTTGGACATATGCAAAGAAAAGTGACATAGTCCGCATTCAGGGTAAATGGTTAAGACTAAGGAAAGAGGAAGACAAAGACCAAAGTTCCCGTAGGTAAAGTTAGTAAAAATAGATATGATAGCATGTGGTTTGACCGAGGCTATGGCCTTTAAATAGAGTGGAATAGAAACATGGGATTCACGTAGCCGACCCCAAATAATTGGGAAATGGCTTGGTTGTTGTTGGTGGTGGTGGGTGCATCTTCTCAAAAGTTGCATGTTGTTTAAAGTAAACGTTCTCGAGGATAACATGAACTATTTTTGTTGTTTACGTAGCTGTATGATGTGAACATGGTGTTGTGGTCAATATTCTGTATGTGTTGATCCAAGCTATTCTTAATTTTTTTTTTTCTTTTCATTTTGCTATCTATTTTGTTTAATGAATGACACTTCTTTTCACACACACACATAAATAGATGATCATATTTACTAATTTAGTTATATCTGTGTAGGGAGGGATCTGCTCGTGGTTTTGGTATACGTGTAACTCAGTCAGCTGAAGGCTCAGATTCATGGGTTGATGATCCAATTACACGCCACATTATAAGCCTTTATATCAACAAAGAAGAGGAAGGAGAGAATCATTTGCTATGGCCATTAACTTTGCACATAAAAGGCCTTTATTGCATCCTTGTATTGCCTTTGGTCGAGCCCCGCCATTTAAAAGCATATGCAAGAATTTGTAAACAATCTGATTGCGGAAATGCTATTGGAGAGGATGAAAATGTATCTTCCCTCCTGCTTGATCTTCCATCCATCACAGGGTATGGTAAGTTACATAATATGTTTTTTCATAAAGCAGAACATAACAGAACAATTTTTCTTGCTTTGTGGCGCATCATCCCCCCTCCCCTTTTCAGATGCGTCTTAGATTGATGCTTAAACTTCAGCCTTGGTCAAGAAAACCTAGCTTCAGTTTCAGACTGATCTTGTCATCATTCTGTCATTCTATATGTACACACATGACATAACAATTAACACATAAACACAAATTTCCCTGCTTTTGGTCATCTTCTTTGAGTTTTAATTCCTTAGATTAATTTTCAAGGCATCTTATGAATTTACAAATGAAAATTCTAAAATTAATCTACATATTTAAATTCATCTTCTTTTGTTGTATGTCATTATGTCTACATATTTAAATGTATCATATGAAACTTCTTTTGCTCAGTTATTATACTTTGAACTGTACTGTCACTGTGCATGGTAGTATGGTACAGATGTCATACTTTTTTCCCCAATTTATATTCTTGATTTTTGCAACATCCAGGAAGATTTAAATTTTTTCTGAAAATTTGTTCACTTCATTACCTTTTCAAATGAAGGTTTTTAATCTTCTTAGGAATGTCTATTGGGAGTTGTTGGTGTGGAGTTTAGGCTTCTTCTGGTTTATGATCTTGCTGAGTTTCAGTTGAAAGCTAGAAGCCTTTTTTTTTGGGCCTCGGAACAGTTTTACATCTGTAGGAACTGCAAAATTATGTCCCGTATCCCCTTTACAAGTTTTGTTGCTTCTGTTCAGAACTATATTAATGTGTCTCATTAATTCTTGGAAGTCAATAAGAGATATCCCTAGTCCTGGACTTTTTGCTTCTACCCTATACGTATGTCTACTGCATTTGGTCTGTCATCTCTTGGTTCAGAAAAGCATTTATACTGCATGGATTAGGTAGCTAAGATAGTTCTGCTTTTGGGCCTGACAAAACCCATCACCTTGGGCACATTCAATCTGGCTCCTCCCCCCCCACCCCCCCAAGAAAAAAAAAAAATTCTCCTCCTCTCCTGCATTGCAAACTGCAATTACATTATAAGGAAAAGGTAATTTAGTTTGGTCTTGTATGCTTTAGCTAGACATTTTGGTCCCAATTTGTGGTACCTGCAGCTTTTTCCCCCTTTCTTTCATTCACTCTTGCTATTAGAAAGGAGTCGTAACTATATTCTGTTCTAACTCACCAGTCACCAATATCACTAATGCAAAGACTAAATGTAAAAAGAATATATAAAAAAGATGCAAGAAATGCATACAGATAAACTTTTTGGGGTTTGCCATTGATTTCTCAGCTGCTGGTTTAGATCACACCATTTACATCAGTGAGGAGTTAAATCTTATATATACAGGGAAATCTATATATTTTGTTGCAACTGTGACGTGTCTAGGTTGGTGACTGACATGTGAAGAGTTGGAGAATGAGCTGCCTTTGGCATAAGGCTACGAAAATTTTAATGCTACTCTGTTTTTCTGTTGTGTGCATTTGGAGTGGAGAGATAGGTGAGCTTTTGAATGGTTGGAGCTTCCAATCCTTAGATTGAAGTAATTTCATTGAGATCTTTATTATTTTAGATTCTGGAGCCCGTTTTCTGTTGATTCTTTGATGCAGTTTTTAGCTGCTGTATGTTTGTTAGTGAATCCTATTTATAGCTTTTATATACCTTGGGTGTACAAGGGTTGTGGCCCCCTTTTTTGGTGCCTTAGGTGAATGTTTACTAATAAAAGGTTAACTGAACCTTGCATCTGGTTCAAATTTCTTTTGGTTTTTCGTTGGGTTTTGATCTTTTACGAATCAGATGTGATTTTGATTTCCATAGTTTCTCTCTCTCTCTCTCTCCCCCCCCCCCCCCCCCCCCCCCCACCTTTTTTTTAAAAAAAAAAAAAAAAAAATAGTTTTGATCTGTAGTTGTCAGGTATATATTCTGATTGCTTTGAGAACGGTTCACTTGTTTTGTTTATTCCTCTAATCTCTTTTAGTTTTGATTGTCTTTAACATCATTGGTTTATAATTGCCTACGTAACCATATATGTCGGACTGAATTTGGCACTCTTTATATAGTTGGAGAACCCTTTGAATGTAAGCCCCATTTTCTCTTTGAATTCAGTGGAGTGCAATCTCCCTCACTCTCTCTCTCGTGCGCACATGCGCCTAGAGTGAACTTTTCTGATAAACCTTTTTATGAAGAAAAGATGGCTGGCTTTGCCTCATGTATTCTCATTAATCAGTATGTATATGGTGTACATCATAGACACTTAGCTGTTCCTTCTTCCATGCACAGGGCATTTATGGTTGCACATACACTAGGTGACATAATTACAGGCGATATTCCAGAACCTGAAGTACTTGTAAGTGTTTCTCCATCGGTAGGAGGCTTGTTGGATTCTTTAACTGGCAGTATAGGGATTTCAGGTATTTCTGCAAGAGCAAAGCCTGTAGCAGCACCAGTTGCGGCATCCACCATTGCAAGCACTGCTGTAAGTGGAGCTGTTACATCAGATGCTCCAAAGATTGGTTTGCGGCCCCTGGACAAAGATACACTTCGAACTTTCATTAGTAGCTCAATGCCCTTTGGTTGGTACTTTTTATTATGGTATTTCTCATCTCAAGTTTCTTATAGATTTTCTTTTGTGGATCAACTTTATTTATCTAATGTCTATTTATCTTTTATTTCCTTGTTTGTTTTACATATAGGTACACCATTGGATCTTAACTATTCCAATATTTCCGCTATTAAGGTGAATGGCTTTACTTCATCAGATTTGCCTCCAGCAGACCGGAGGCAACCTGCATGGAAACCTTACCTCTACAGAGGAAAGCAAAGAGTGCTTTTTACTATTATTGAGACAGTTCATGCTGCTATGTATGACCGCGATGAAATTCCAGATAGTATATCAATTTCTGGTCAAGTGAATTGTAGAGCAGAATTAGAAGGATTGCCTGATGTTTCATTTCCCTTGACCGGTCTGGACTCTGCTTGCATTGAAGTTCTATCATTTCATCCTTGTGCTCAAGTTCCAGAGCAAGGTGTGGATAAGCAATCTGTGATGTTTTCACCACCATTAGGTAATTTTGTTTTAATGCGTTACCAGGCAATTTGTGGCACTGGACCTCCCATAAAGGGGTTTTATCAGCTGTCGATGGTCTCAGAAAATGAAGGTGCATTTTTATTCAAGTTGCACCTGATGGAAGGATATAAATCTCCTCTAACAATGGAGTTCTGTTCCCTGACTATGCCTTTTCCTAGGAGAAGGGTGGTGTCGTTTGATGGGACACCTTCTATTGGGACAGTTTCTACTACCGAGCACTCAGTTGAATGGAAAATTATAACAAGTGGGAGGAGTGTTTCTGGGAAGAGCATTGAAGCAACTTTCCCTGGAACAGTTAGGTTTGCGCCTTGGCAAACTCAAAGACTTCCCTCCTCTGTGTCAGTCTTGGGAAGTATAGCTGATGAAGATAGTGATGATGTCGATTCAGAGTCAGCTAATAATATTGTAAATATAGATGAATTCTTAATGGAAAAATTGAACAAGGACCTTCAATCAGTTGATCTAGAGGAGCCATTTTGCTGGCAGGCATACAATTATGCTAAAGTATGTATTCTCTCCATTATTTCAACCTCTAATTGGAGCTATTCATGAATTCTTGAAATCACCTAGATCTATACATTTGGTTTTCTATTAATATGCTGGTGTTTTTGTTTGGGTTTTGAATATGTCATGGTTGGTTATTGTAGATTACCTCAATACCAAGTTTAATCTGTTCTCAATACTACTGTTTATTTTTAAATTTGTTGAAACAAACTGTTGTTAGATCTTGTAGTTGCAAAGGAGACTGTTGTGTTTACATTCGGATTTTGGCTTTAAGTGGACTGCATTTATAGTTGCCCGAAAAATGGAGGTCTTCACTGTTGTTGAGGGAAGCTGTCTTTGATTGTCAGAACTTCAGTATACAATTCAGAATGAAATTTTGTCCATTGAAAAGAGGGGGGAAATTTACTAGAGAAGCATTTAACTTCTATCTAGAAACTACAAAAAAATGACTTCAGAAAAGGTTACCGGTATATAAGGCTATGAATTAAAATGTAATTTGTGTCAGCTTATATCTACCTTGACCAAATGACAGAAGATGAAATGGAATTGATACTTTACATTTATTTTGGTGATGGAACTGCAGTTTAGTTTGCTTCGGATTAATTGAAGAAATGGTTTTCAAAACATTATTTCTGATTCATATCTACAGGTAACTTTCAAGATGGTGGGGACATCTTTATCTGGAATGACTATTGATCCTAAATCTGTAAGTCCATGAATTCCTGTTGTTTTTCCATTATGAATGTGTTACATTTCTCTCTCTCTCTCTCCGCCCCCTCCCCCCCCCGGCCTGCGTCTCTCTCTCTCTCTATATATATGGGTTAATTACAATGACACCTCCTGAGGTTTTTCGTATTGACAGTCATATATAAGTTAGGCTTTTTTTGAACAATGATACCCCTAAAGTTTGAAAAAGTTAACAAATACACCCCAATGGTCACTTGCTACCTATGAATTGACATTGTTGTCCTTTGACTTTTAAATTGACAAATTTAAATAATGAAATTACCTGGCTACCCTTGTATAATATTTATAAAAATAAAAAATCCAATCCCAATACAATCTATTACCAGTCGTACAGTGGCTACTCCATCACTACCGTGAAGCTCTCTCACCCAAAATCACCACTTCAATTGATCAAAACCGGAATATTCAACACACACACACACACACACGGATATATATATATATATCCCAAACCTTCAACATACATACATATAATGGTGGCCACTGCCGCCGGCGCCGACTCCACCACCGTGAAGCCCTCACAGCCAAATCACCACCACTGGTTCAAAACCCGAATCTTCAACACACACACGCACATATATATATATATATACCAGCACTTTTAAACACCCAAATCTTCAACATACATACATACATATATATTTATATATATATATACACACACCTCCAAGATCGAAACAGTGGCCACGGCAGCGGCAGCGGCGGCGGCGGCGCTGACTCCACCACATCCTTTGCCCCCAAGTTTGAGAAGGATCCAAAGAAGCACAATGTCATCACAGGGATGTGCCCAACGTCGATGCCGCGGCCAGATCCGAGGGTTCAACGGCGACGGCTTTCTTGGTGGTGATGGCGGCAACGACGGTAAGGGATTTAGGGGCAGAGAGGTCTAGGGATTTGGTGGTGGGTTTGAGGGAGAGGCCGTGAGTTTGGTGGTTTCTTGATTAGGGTTAGGGTTTGAGAGGCCATGGTTGTTATTTGTTGCCTCTGTTTTTCCTTTTGTGGTGGACCGCGGCGGTGAGGACCGGCGGCTGTGGTGGTGGTGGTCGAGGTTTGTCTACGGTGATACAGGGAAAAAACCTTGATGCTTGATCTATTGTCCCAGTTCCTTTTCTTGGTGAAAGCTCCTTACCCGCGAGTGGATTGTTCTGGCACTGAATATACATATACATGTATAACATATATATCTATATATATATATATATATATATATACACACAGTTAGAGAGAGAAAATAAAGAGAGAGAAAGTTGGGTTAGGTTTGTGATGGAAAAGTTGAGAGGTGAGAGTGCCAAGGTTAAAAACGTCATTTAGGATTTCTAATATTTAACCATTTAAATTAATAAAATATTGAAGGTAATCTTGACTTTTCACATCTTTTAAGGGGCTGTTTGGATTCAATTTGTGATAGGGGGTGTCATTGTTCAAAAATGCCTAACTTATATATGACTGTCAATATGACAAACCTCAGGGGGTGTCATTGTAATTAACCCTATATATATTTATATATCTATTTATTCATTTATTTATATACAACGGTACATGTTTATTATCTTGTTATGATTCTTCTGAAGCAGTTAAGATAGATTCCTGGACTTCCAGTTCAAAAGCAGTACAAGATTTGAAATTTTTTTTTTTTTTTCTCAGCTCTGTTTTTTCTTTGATATTGTTTATGTGAAGATGGAAAAAGGATAGCCGGATAAGGACTTAAATTGCCAGCTTCTGTCTTTTGGACATCTGCTTTTTTGTTTTCTATTGGTTGTTAGCTTCTGTCAGCATGTTTCCTGATCTAAGCTCCAAAATCTTAACACAGTTAAATGCAGTGGGTATAAGTGTATAAGAGCACCACTCAAAACTAGCTTTTTGTTGTTATATCCTATTTGAACTGCTCAATGTACATTAGGTTGCTAGCTTCCTTATAGTTTGTGCTGTATGCAGGTAAGCATCTTTCCAGCTGTTAAAGCACCTGTGGAGTTCTCAACTCAGGTAGTACTGTCTTTTGTTCAAAAGTTTTTTATTATCAATGAGATTTTCTGTCTCTAAGTTTTTTGTCATACTATAGAGAAGCATATATTATTTCTGAAAACCCTCTCAATGGGTTATTGTAGACAGCAAACCTCCTTATAATCAATCTTTTGTAGATTAATAATCGCTATTATGGTCATTTATTGACTACTAACTTCATTTAGAGGTTAGCGTTTAAATTTTTAATATTCTAAAAAAAGTACTTAGAATGTCATATAAATATGTATATACCATATATTTTGTTATAATAGAAATTGGTACGTATAAACATTATATCTGTTCGGATTGTCGTTTACTAATCTTATCATTTGGAAGTGTTATTGTGTAATACTTTTGCTAAGTGTAAGGACCAGAATCCGAGACACTGATGGAGAGTTACGCAAGGTCTGTGTTCTAGACCTAGAGAAGTGGTGAATAGGTCTTGTAGGATGGATTAGTGATTTTAATGACTTTTCGATATTTAAACTAACTTAATTGAAATTTAAATCCAAAACATGGCGGAACATAAAAATCATCAATTCATAGCCATATATAAGTAAGTAAAAAGTACAATAATGAACACCAGATTTTTGCATGAAAACTCGAAAGAGAAAATCACGGGACCTAGTTCAGGCAAACCAAAATCTACTATGTGAGAAACAGAGTACAACGTAGGTTAACAGACTTTATCCCGAGAATCCCATAGTTTCCTCCCGATATAGAAGATTCCAATTTTTTTGTTTTCTTTCCCAAAAGTCTTCAGGCAATCCTTTCCTCATCATCACCATTCGCTGCTCACGAATTTGCTTCTCTAGTGATTTCGGTCTCAGCCACTAGTTTGGACAAGCATTAATGTTTGTGTACGGATTGATTAGATATGTTAAACTCTTCATTGAAGTACTCAACAGTTAAATTCACTCACCAATACTAGAATGATGAATGCAAAAAGAAAAATAAGATGCACTCTAGAACTCACAAATAATGCTCTCTTGATATGTATCCTCTGTATGTATGCCCTAGTACCATAATTATATATTTATTGTAATATAGAGAGAATAGGGTTTGTAGAGTTCAAACTGATACTCTGAACAGTTCAATCCATCGAAATTGCTGTCTATTAATCTGCAAAGCTGCAGAAGACCTTGATTGAACCCGAGCACCTACACACATCATTCATTCCCCATAAGAGGGGCCATTTGCATTATTTTCTAAGCATGTGTGTACCAATATATATATAAATATATATTGCTAGGACAATAGAACTTAAGTAGGCAAATTCTATATAACATGCTTAATTATTGGGGACCATAAGGGTTGTGATACTTTTAGTGACTTGCTTAGAAAAGATCCTTAAAAAGGAGTACATAATGAATGAACAATGGAGTTCGTCTTGAAAATTGAATATAAGAGTTACTTTTAATCAATTTGATTCCTGAAAGTATATTATTGTTAGAAGGGTTATATATATTTATTATAATTTTATAATAATAGGAGTATTGTATTTGTAAACCAGGAAACAGCCTCTCCTCTCGCGGGGGTAAGACTGCGTACATCTAACCCTCCTCAGACCCCGCAATGGCTGGAGTCTCGTGCACTGGATTTGCCTTTTTACCCTATGGTCTTTTTAATTAGGGGAACTTTTTGGGTGGGCTAGTACGAACCTTACCTCTGGCTTGGTCTTCTTTCTTTTCTTTTTTTGGTGGAGGCATGAAGTGGTGGGTCCAAAATTCACGCTCATGCTTGGCAGCCCGAACTTACTGGTACACAAGATATTGGGAATTGTTTTTACAATTTGCAGGCCCCCTCCCCCAGTGAGCACTCACACCAAAAGCTAAACTTTTTTTGTTACAATTTGTTTTGGTCTTCCTTTAACTTCCAAGGAAAAATAAAAATAAAATCCTGGTCTTGTTTTGACTGTTTTTTCTTTTTAATGTATAATTTGTACGTTTTCAAAAGTCGCACATATATATATATATATATTAGTCTATCAATAGTCTTAGTTTTGTTAAGATTGCAATCTTGGTATTTTCTTGTCCACACTCCATGCTGTCCTCAGTTTTTGGTTGCCCTTGATATTATTAGTTCCTGATTTTTTCTACAAAACACTTGATCCCACAAATTTCTTGGGAATTCCCTTTTATGCATTTGGTACTAATGAGGATAGGTTAGGTTAGCTGTTGCCGATGGAGGAAAAACTGATTAGTGGTGTAGGTGAAAAACAACACTATGTCATCCACTGTAGTGAAAGCTTTCCCTGTTTTTGTATTTTGTGAAAGATAGTTCCAGTGATACGTCAAAAACTACAACTTTACAAAGTCTCTTCCCAAAATTTTGGGACTGCTTTAAAAAAATAGTTCATTTTGTTTTATATAATACAATACATGCATAATATAGCTGGTTTTCCATGAATTAGACAATGAAGGAAAACAATGTTCATAAAATCTCCTACTCTTGTTCCAATTTCAACCGCATGTTTCAATATTTATGAACTGTACGTCCATTTTTTAATATTTTTTGTTCATTTTCTTTTTCCTTGTTTTTGCTACAGGTTACTTCTGGGGATTATATATTATGGAACACATTGGGGAAATGCCCATTTACTGCCACAGCAAAAGTATAGGGGTTGGGCAGGAAGTTTGGAATGTAATCTTTTGTGTTTTCATTGGCAAATATCCTTTGTTTGTCTAATTGGCTGCGCTATGCTGCCAGCTTCAAAGTCTGTCTAAGCCTGGCGGAAGAAAATTTTGGTGTCCGTTTCGAAGTCTGTCTAACCTGGCTGAAGAGAATTTTACTGTCCGTTTGGAAGTCTGCCTAAGCCTGGCTACAGAGGACTCTGCCATGCTTAGGTCACAGCCATGGCTTCACTCAAGTAAGTGTTTTGCAGATTGAAGTCAAGATAAAGATGGATTTGTGATCTTCTTGTGATTTGTTAAAGAAGAATGCTGGGAGAAACAGATATCTTGTATTTTGTGTAAAATTGAAGTACATTAAGTTAAATCATTATGGCGTTAGACACAGAGAAACTCAGAGTTCCTTCTGTTTACTTGATCCAACAGTTTTGTTTTGGTTTGTAGGAGATGATCCCATCATTGAACCTTCATTCCTTTCATTGGAGAACAATAAAACTTGTTGCGAACCATTTTGTACAACGATGATTTATAAAATGCATTCTGAATTGGTTTTTTAGTTGAATTCAATTGCTTGATTTATAAGTCACTAAGATTGGGATTACCAATTGGGTTTATATGTGTGTCCGTGTCTATATATATGAAATTGGTTCTGCTTGCTACAAGCAATCTGTGCTGATATATATATATATATATTGTTATATATGCTGATATATGATAATGGGTGATAATAGGAGGATGCCATCACAATGAATTAAGAATAAATAAAAATAAATAAAAAAAATTGCAAAAAACCCAAATTTTTGAATTATTATTCTGCCAAAATGTTGTTCTACCATGCTGCCCAAAATGCATAAACATGTAGAATCATCACGGATGGATTTGCGTAGGGACTTTTCAGGCCTAAACTGTGTTTTTTTTTTTTTTTTTTTTTCCTCAAGGGACAAGCTCCAGTTTTTTAGCTAGCATAATGGGTTGTTTTCTTTACAATCTAAAACAACTAAAGCCTATGCTAACAAAACAAAGGCAATAAAGTGATCTTGCCTTGCTCTAAACCATAAAGTCCCTAACCTCATTTTTCATACATCTACCTAAACTTTTGTGTTGCGATCTTTAAATAATGACATCCTTCTGAAAGCTGTTTCCCCTATAACCAGAATTTTCTCCATTGTCATCCTTCTAACATGACTCTCGATGAATGGTAGAGATCGTACGGGGCCCACAGATGATCGACCGGGCACGGCTTCCGTGAGTCCAATCTCAACCATGGCTTACCCTTGCCACTCCAATGCAGCAGATTAATAGGCCCAGGATGGAGCCCTCTACACTTGCCTTCAAAGTTATCACCACCAAGCCCATGCTGGTTCCAACCATGATGAACTGCCTTTATATTACCTGCCAACACAAGCAAAAAAGGCGGCAAAGACCCCAATTGGTATATCCTCTTTCTCTTCTGCACAACCATCCACTTCTCAACCTTGTGTGTATACCCTCCTTTTCTCCATCTATCTATGTCAAGCACCATCACTCCTGTGTTGAAGTAACACGCCCTTCTCCCTTCAAACACTTTGGCCAAGTTTTCGTCCGACCAGAACGCTTCCGTGAAGTAGTTTGTGATATTTGCATGGCAGTATTCTGGTGCAGCCACCACTTTATCCTCCAAATCAACCTCCCACAACTTCGCTATGTCATCCACCACGATAACATCCGAATCCAAGTATATGACACGGCTCACATTCGATGGGAGTATGTCAGCAAGATAGATTCTTGCATAGTTCAGAGGCTGATCAAGGGCTTGTCTAATGGACTTGGATATCTTGCCATGAACACGGCTCGAGTCAAACTGGTATAGCTTGAAGTTAAGGTAGGGGAAGGTGGATTTGATGGTGGAGAAGATTTCAGGCTCGGACCGGAGCGAAAGGAAGTGGAAGGAGACGTTTTCCGGGCACGTTGAATGTTGTAAGATGGATAACACTGCTGCCATTGTGCCACGGAGATAATTGGCGTCTAGGGTCATGACTATATGGATGGAGCTGGTGGTTTGTGACCCACATGTGTTGCCATTACGGAATGCCGGTGCCTCCCGGAAGATATGGACTCCGGAGGACGGTTTAAGGACAACGCCAATACGGATGGCAGTGGTGGTGGTGAAGAAGAGGAGGAGGAGAGACAGGAGGCCTAGGAGTGGGAGGTGGTGGGAAGAGCTCCAAAAGGCCATCCTGCCTAACTGCTAGGGTTTTTTTTTTTTTTTGTTTTTTTCTCTTTGTTTTTTTGGAGTTTGGAAGGTTTAGAGGGTTAAGAGGAGGATTTTTTAGCCATTATTGGGGGCAGGTTAAGAGAAGGTTTAGGGAAAAGGTTTGATATGGTTTGGTGGTAGCAATGGAAGGAAAGGGGTTGGGTGAGATTGTGAGGCATAGAAAAAAGGTCGGACTATTTTTTTTTTTTTTTCTTTTAAGGAGATTACTTGTTAATTTTGGAAAGGTTAATGCTACCACAGAGAAATGTATTGAGTTTGTGTCCTTAATCACCGTTGGATTATTGTACAAATAGTGATGTCAGAACAATCTAACGGTGATTAGGACCAGCGTTCAATGAAGAAAAGTGTCCTACTATATGAGATTTTTGTTCTTTTGAAAAACATGAAAATGGAAATTTACACACCTCTATATATTACACTTATAAGGAAATATATATATATATATTACGCTTATAGGAAGTAAGAAGTAAATTCACTCCGATTTTTTCTAAGTAAGAATCCTCGTGTGATCATCAGTTTAATTTGTCAGATTTTATTTTATTCTTTCCTTTATTTGTGTTGCTTTGATAGTGGAAAATTAAATATTACTAAGTCAGTTGGATATTTTAAGAATATAAGCGAATTCTGAGAGGTGTAAATGCAAAGCCCATGTGGGATGGAATTCGATCTCTGTGTAGTTGGGCTCAATTCACTAATTTCCATACTTTTATCAACAACAAAGAATGGGCTACAGCAGTTTAAAGGCCTATAATATCCACATATCCCTCCGTCCACTTGGTTTGGCCCATGTTCAAGTTTTGGCCCGTTTGAATTTTTACCATAGTGCGCCCCTGTTTTTTGGGCATAAGTATTTGGACAATTTCAATTCTTTACCTGTGAGAGTATCTCCATTGGTTGTGTGTATTTTTTATTTATTTATAAATATGATGTGTTATGATAAATTTATACAAAAATTTTGAATTATTTATTTTTAATTTAATATCTTTTGTGTAAAAATATATCCTTCAATAATAATCAATTACGTGTCATATCAAGACTCACATAACTTTTACACTGATGTGGCTGTGTAAACTTTACACACTGATGACGTGACAGTATATATTTTACACAAAATTATATTTTAACAGACTGCTGGAGATGCTCCGAAGATGTACTTCATTCTGATAGCCGATGTGGACCAATAATAAATTGACATGTTCTTTTTTTTTTATAAAAAAAAATAAATAAATAAAGAATAATATTTAGGTCCCTAGGGGACCTAAGAATTGTCCTAAAGTATTATTGAAAAGTTCCTCTTTTAGCCTATCCCCATCTTTAATATGTAGTCTCGACCCTTTCCCTCCTCTTCGAGGGTAGGGAAGTTATACCACTAGAGATCCTTTGATCATAAAAGCCTTCTATATTCGATTTTAATTTCATACTTCAAACTATGTAGTAAAAAGTACATCATTCAACTTATACCTAAATTCATCTAATTATAATTAACAAGGTTGTTATGATTGTGTTCATTCGAACTTCATGAAACCTAATTGAAATATTCAAAAGCCTAAGACCCTAATCATATTGTTATTTTTGAGTTAAATCATTGGTCATTGTTCAATCGAGTATGATCGACATTTTATACATAACTAGTGAGGGATATTCATTATAAAGGGCATTTTCGTAATTGCTGGGTAGAATTTGAAAAAATTGTTACCAGTCCAATTAATAATAGTCTGGCAGTGTGTTCCTTAATCAGGAGTCAAATTTAAGTTTGTATTAGATGGACAATTAAGGGTATCAAACTCACCAAGAGCATCCACATCCTATTCTGGTCATGAAGGGGCATTGCTGATAGAGGGCGTTTTTGTAATTTAGCTATGTGCATGCTTCTATGAACTATAATAAGAGTAATAAGCCGGTCTACTTAAATCATTTGGTTGGGTTTTCTCTAACTTTGGAGAGTTAGAGGCTTCTACTTATAACTTAGGTGCATGTATATATTAGATGTATCTCATGTCATCATCTTAATAATGTTAAGACACAACTGTCATTATTTAGTGTTAAGTTAAAAAGTTCAATCTAAAAAAATGAGATTAATGAAGTGTAAGATATAGTTAGGATTCGAATCTCGAATAAATAGGTGTGTATATTTCTTGTCAATAATAAAAAAAAATAAAGAAATTTTTTTTTTAATACACTAGATAGTTGAAATTGACCTTTATTATTATTACCCTCACTGATCGATACCACACCTCTCAAAAAAAGATGATATAACATTGTTCTAAAGGTCAACTAGTGATATAACATTTGACTTTATTTCAATGATAAACGCCTTTCATACTTCATGCGTTAAAATAGGTTTAGGTATTTAACTTCTAATTGAGTTTAAAATATATGTACCCATGAACGTTATCTATCAAATAATAGTGGAGTTATCTATCAAATAATAGTGGAGTAATAATAATAATAATAATAATAATAATAATAACAAGTGGAGGATAATTTATCAAAAAAATAAAGAAATAAAGAAATGCAAGCGGGGGTAGTATTGTTTAGGGCATTAAGTAACCTGGAAATAAAAAAGGAAGAAATTGAAGGGATTAAGGGAACAAATTAAGAAAGAGGCACGAGAGGAAGCATGCATGCATCACCCCACCCTTGCTAATCTAATCTAATCTAATTAAAGAAGAGATTAGTAATGATTTCGGTGTTAGATCAAATTAGATTCTAACATTGCATACTAAGAGCTCTTGTTTATAATGATCATATGTGCTTAAGTGTTTCTAAACATAAGATGTCGGTAATACTATTACTCTTATTACTAATCTCTTTTGGTCGGCTCTTCTAAAAGCCTAATCACCCTTTCCTATTATTCCTTGCATCAAAAAGTGAACCATACACATATGCTATAATGCTAACAACACCTTTTCAATATGGAGTATTCTTCTTAATCATATAGTGTGTGTATATATATATATAGAGAGAGAGAGAGAGAGAGAGAGAGAGAGAGAGAGAGAGAGAGAGATTTGTTGGGACTGAGATATATATATATATATATAAAAGGTTGGGGGATAAATGAAATCAAATGAAAGGGGGTGTAGTGAGTCAGGTATGTAGAAAGTTGGGTTAATGTAAAGATGACTTTTAGAGAAGACAGAGAGTTTGAAGCAGAGGGAACATGATGGCCTCCATGTTTACATATCCATGCTTCACTCCTTACTGACATTATCAACACTTCTAAAAGATACAACTTACCTTATGGGGTCTCAATGACATCAATCTCTATCTTAAAACTCTCACAACAACAAATCTTACTCTCTCTCTCTTAAAACTGTGTGTGTGTATGTGTGTGTGTGTGTGTGCAGGCCCTACCTACCTATAAGCATTTACCAAATGTTACTGACTCGTTAGATTTAGCCCAATCCGGCTCTTACTACCCAAACACCAAGAATGACACCATGTTAATGTCAGCATTACTGCATCCACAAACTTGGGTAGAATGATTTTAATAAATAAGGTTCTGCAATAAATCAGATGCTTTGACTCACTCACTTGTTAACCCACTCATGTTTAAATAGTTCATTTATTGGGACCCTAAATTGAGACTAAGATATCAAAATACACAAGTGACCACCAAACTCATTGGAACCTAAATACTCTTCTTAGGTTGAATAGCCTATTCGTGATCTAAATTTGATGTGGGACAAATTTTTTACTAGTAAGTCCTTCATTAATACTGTTGGACAACCCTGCCTATCCTTCCTTTCTAAGGACGACTCAATCGAGTGGGCGCTTGGCACCTTTATTAGCCCAAGGCCCTCTCTATTTGAATCCAATATGGGACAACAACCTTGCTAATATTATCCGCTTTTAGCTCTTTCGGAGCAGAGACTTCCCAGGAGGTTATCCATCCTGGTACTACTCTAGGTTAAGCATGTTTAACTCTATATTTCTGGTGGATTCACGGCCATCACGGCTTAAAAACGCGTTGTGTCATAGAAATGCGTCCAAACCCAGGCGATATAGGATTGTGCACCTATAGTTCGTCCAGTGTGATAGCTTACTGGTGCCACCAGCACATGTTTACACACATCTGCCCACAAGGTCGCAACAATCACCCCCCTTTGGGGCCCAACGTCCTTGTTGGCCATACTTTCGGTTAGGTCAGACTTTGATACCATTTGTAAAGACCCTCATCCTAGCCAGACACAATATTGTCCGATTTTGGCTTACCTGGACCAGGGACTTCCCAGGGGGTCACCCATCCTGATACAATTCCAGGTTAAACACGCTTAACTCATAAATTTTAGTGAGTTCACGACCATCACGGCTTTAAAATGTGTTGTGTCATAGAAGGGTGTTGAATCTACATATAACACTTGTTCCATCTACACCCAGGTGATGTGGGATTGTGCACTTATAGTTTGCCTAGTGTGGTAGCCTACTGATGCCACCTACACATACTTACACACACCCGTTCACAAGGTCGCCACAACTTGGGCGGGCGCTTGGCTTATTATCGGATCAACAATTGGGCCTATTCTACCATCATTTGTAAAAGATCGGGCATCTGTCATCCGACCCAAAAATCAAGCTTTTAGGCAGGATTGCCTACCTGCCATTAAAAGAACAAAAACCTCTAGCAAATGTCCATTATATTAGGAGGCTAAGGTCACTCTGCCAATGGAATCACACTCTTTATGAAGTGATCCCCACACTCCCATAACTCCATGCTAAATCCTCACTCCTTGCAAAAGTGTGGTGGAAGAACATGAATGCTCCACGAACACATTGTCCCGTTTGTAACGATTAATCCACATTCCTTGCAATCAAGAGGTTGAAAAGAAAAAAACAAATATGTTGTTCTGACCTGGAAAAGATAATTCGTAGTAATGTTTCTGCAATGTTGAGAACATTTCTTTAATATTACTCTCATGCATGGTATTATTTTTTTATTTTTTTTTTGGCATTCAAAAACC